GTCTCTTCCGAGCAAAATGAGCCCTCCCAGTCTCTCTCCTTCAATCACAGGCGATGTTATAACCCAGAACAGAGACGGAGTCGCTGACAGGTTTAGCGAGGTGCCAATCTGCGCTCCGCAGTTTTGGGCTGTTTGAAGCCAGCCAATGCCTAGCCAGCAAAGTTTTGATGGATGGAAGTGTTAGCCAACCACAAGGACGTTTACAGTGATTGACAGTTTGCGTAGATTACGTAAGAAGGCTTGAAGAATACCCATGCGCAAAGTTAGTGTGTATTCTTGAGCTGACTGCGCTCTCGTCTGTACGCACGCTGCGTTCACAGAATGGCGTCGCGGCGCTACACGGAGTGTTTATCCGCGAGCGGATTTTCTCCGAAGCTTGCATCTGAATCTCTCCATCATGGGACATCGACTTTAGAAGAGTTTTTGTGGTGTTTGATAGGGATGGGCGATACCCCTTATTTTGTTTTCGATACGATACTGATATTTTTCAAGGCAGTATCGTCGATATCGATACCGATTTGATACTTCTGCACTAAACGTTTAAATTATGAAATTTGTTAAATTATTAAATTACTAAGAGTAGGCTAAAATGGGTAATGAAAACCACTTAACTTTATGTTTAAAACGCATTTTAACCCGTTTAATCCCAAATTTTTCCCAGACATGAAAATATCCAAATGATGTGTCATTAGTAACCCTTTGAAATAATCAATCTTTTTTTTTTTTTTTTGGAAAAGGGTGTGAAAAATTTTTTTTTATGGTCAGTCACAATTGTAACCGGTGGGATAATGTGTATACTGAATTAACATATTTCTGCAGTCTTAAAAATTGTTATATATCTTAGCCCAGCTATTTTAAACTGTTTGATCACATTCTAGGGTTACTATTATGCATAAAAAACCCTTATACAACATTGATAGGAATACTGAGATCAAATACAAAAAAAATACAACCATCAACGTATTTCAAAATTGTTACTTTTTTGTAACATATATCATCACATTTTTATATTAGTGCTACCAGTATTACAACATTAATATTCTAACTTATTTGTAACATTTGAACTTTTGATTTAGTGCAATATTTTGTACTGCCATTAGGGACTGCCAGTGAATGGCTGTTGCATGCATAAAATGCAACTTTTACATGATCAATATTATCTTTCAACGTTCAATTTAAATAATTGTAATTGCACAAACTATGTAGGCTACAATTTCAATTTGTTTATTGTGAAATAACTCAAACATTTATGTTTTTATTTCTGTCCTCTGATAAGCATTGTTCAGGACTGCTGTTCCCAAAAGCTTTAATGCTTTCTTATGATACTTTTGGGGAACGCAGCCCTGTTTGAATGCACTGTCAGCAGTGAGTGAATGCTCTCTGTGATTTATTGGTTCTGTCTTGCAACATTTGCATGTGTTCAGATGGGCAGGAAAATAGTTCTATCCTACACAATTATTCGCTAACAAAGGTTATTCGTCCAATTCAATGCATATTGTACGCATTATTATTATTATTATTTTTGGTAAATAAACAAAACCACTGGTAAATAAAACGCACTTTAGTATCGATATTTTTTGTTTGAGTATCGATACTTTCGATACTCGCGTCAGTATCGATATATCGATACTTCGGATCGATACGCCCATCCCTAGCGCTAACATGAATTATTGCAGGTAGGCTGTTTAAACAGTCAGCGGTGACGTAAGTTGCACGCAACAGGTGACCCAAATGTTTGCTTCTGCTGTAGAATAACACACAGAAACACTGATACAAGGGCAAACAGCAAGCTGGGTTATATTTAACCCAGCATTTTTTAGAGTGCAACAGCTATCACACAAAGCTATCATATAGCTTCAGAATATAATACATACATCTTTTTATGGAAAAAAAGCAGCTAGGCTCTTCTTAAAAACAAATTAACATACTGTTTCACAGATGAAAGGAAGGCATGCAGGTTTACGACAACATGAACATTAGTAAATGATAACAAAATATTAATTTATGGTTCAACTGTTCCTTTAAGAACGTCTGTCTATCATGAAAATACAAAGTAAATTTTTCACATGCAGTATATTTATGTTAACATGACGGATAAAATGAAATACCCAGGTGCAGGTTGAGATGGGCTCTCGAGGTTCGGATCCGTTAAGGTGGACAACACAACATGGGCCTCCAGCGTCATGTCTTTTACAGTGAAGGATACAGGCCTGAAAGAGATCAGAATCAACTGACATGTATAGTGTGCTAACTGTATGACTTTATGCTGAATATATAGTATCGAAAAAAGTAAAGACTTACTGTCCAGCTACACCAAACTGACTAGACACTGGCAGACCATAAGACTCGGCAAAGGACAGCAACCCCTAAAAGCAATTTAACAAACAAACAAACAATAAATAAATAAATATATGGTTTATTATTAACAATGATTTATTACAATCAACATTGATTCGAGATTAATCAAATGACAAATATATGTATATATAATTAATAATAAATTCAACTATTATTATATATATTAATATATTATAAAATATTAAAATGTATGTGTGTCACTGGTTAAACAGGTTTTGGTAAATCATATAAAAATGTTGTACATATTTTACAGTGTGAATTGATTCTGAGAACCCACCGATGTGAAGTCCGGTTTAAGTTCGATGACTTTGCTCAGGTCTGGTAATGCAGATTTTGACTTTCCCATGGCAAGGTACACAGTTGCTCTCCTATAGTACGCCATGTAGTTTTTGGGGTCACCATCTGACAATTAAAAAAAATAATAATATTTAAATTAAATTAATTTATTAATTTTAAAAAAAAAAGTGTGTATATATATATATATATATATATATATATAATTTATTTTATATCATTAAGTTAATGAGCAAAGCGGCTGGATTTCAAAAATCATGAAGACAGCCCTGCACAATACTGAAGAATTAAGACCTGTCAAAACAGATTCATACCGTGTTTTATATGCAAGGGACACACTGATCCGTACAGATGTATTTGACCCCGTTTAAGACTGTATGAGGAGAAGGTCAGTCATGTGTATCCAGACCACAGTGTGCTGTCCCGTGCTGTAACTCATTGTGACAGGCTATCTGGTTCACATCCAAGAATCTGTCCCACTGCATCAATAACTGACACAAACACACTGTGGCCTGCCAAGAAGTTACACCACTGACACACAACCAAAGCCCGTACGTGAAAAGGGTCGGTACTATCGGGGCGATAATCCAGTGCCACTAGATCTCCCTGGAAATCGGGGTCAAAGGTTGAGCGAGAGGATACAAAATGAGCTTGTGTTTATAGTTTATCTTGGATGCATTACAGTTTCAAAATCTAAATGTAATTTTTTTTTTTTTGTATTTTTGCATGTTTTGCATAATCCAACTGTTCAACTAATGCCTTTTTTTGAGGAATGCAATATTGTTGATTAATGCGGAATGCAACCAAATAAATAAAATACCACACCTGGGTGTGTGAATTAAAAGAACATTGCAGTCTGTTCAGTTCACATGCATAACACACTTTCTCTGGACTCACTTGGGTGAATATGATAGGCACGACTACTGAACATCCCAGGACGGAAATAAGTGGCAATAAAAATGAATATGGCAGATCCTCATGCACTTGCCAGCACACACATCAAACAAAACATACTTGCATGGGGACACAAACAACTTTCACACATATGCTGTGTATTTAAAACATGCCGTGCTGGACACTCACCCTCAGTTCTTTGAGGCAGAAGGTCACGGCTGAATCCTCTCCAACCTGAAAACAGTCAAACTCATCTGGGTGCAGCATCAGCTCGGTGTTCATGCCTTTGATGCAGTCTGATAACAAACAAAACAAGATCTAATTCATTAATGCAGGACCATAATGTTCAGCATCTGAGTATACAGGAGCTCTGGTATACAGTAAGTCTAAATACATGTAGGTTACATGCAGTCCTGAATATTTTGTCAATTAATTTCATGCTCAGCTATACAGTATATACATATTCACATACTCATTTGACTCGGATTCCATGATCGTCTATGGTGTTTGATGTGTATATTGTATTGTTTACTGTATTTGTCCTGTTTTTGATGTATTTATTTTTATTGTTGATTGTAAAGCACTTTGAGCTCAGAAAAAGTGCTATAAAAATAAACATTATTATTACTACTATTTTAAAAATAATAAGTTAAGCAATAGGCATTATTTAATGAGAAATATAATAGTATGCTACTGTACAATGTGGTCACATGACCTCATCATACTGTACATTTATTTTAGTGATTTTAAATTAAGGAAATAAAAAAAATAAAAAAAATAATATTTTAATTTTAATTGAATGATCATTTTAATTCAAATATTTAAAAAACTATAGTTAAATCATTGTAATATGATTGAGATGACTCACAAATGAGTGAAGAAAGAGTTTTTAAAGAAAGAGATATTAAAAATCACAAAATGTATCCATGACACTGGAGATGGAAGGTTGCTATTAAAATTATATATGATGTGCATCAAATATTTGATGCATAGAGAAAATGTTCACATACTCATAATATTCATGGTATATACTACAACAATAGTTAGAGTACTACATGCTAGTGAACTATTATAAACACAGCAAAAGCTTCCTTACTATTTTCTTCCTCACAAAAGGACTTCAAGGTTACTTTAAACGAGGAAATGCAAAGAGTGACCTCTTCTTGTGAAACCGGGAAATGCACCACAATGTCACCTAAAAGTCTGAAACAGAAACAAAAATGGCTGTACCTTAGTTTATAAATTGGACTATCCTACTAAAAATGAAATTATTTAACATTAGTTAATGCATTAACTAACAATGAAAAATAAATATGTTACAGTAATTATTAATCAGTTACCATTAGTTAATAAAAATACAACTGTTCATTGTTAGTTCATGTTATCTCAGGTCCTTTATATAATTAGGGCCCTATGATTTCCGCGATGCAGAAAACGCAGACAGAATCGCGGAATGCAGTCATAAAAATGGAATTTACTGTATAACGCAGAATGTCACAGAATTTGTCAATAAATCAAAAGTAGCGCTGTACACTTAAATTAAAACGCGATATGGACTAGTGTCTGTGAATATTAAACTGCAAAAATACTATTTAAATATGAATCCTGCAAGTTCTGTGTGAATGAATGGCACAGACGCGCGGTTTTGTTTACTACACACATACTGAAGCGCGCGAACTTGCTGTGTTTTCAAATAATAATAATAATAAAATTATTATTACAACATTATTTTTAAAGAAATATTTAACAGAAAAATGATTTACCAGAATTGATTTAGCAGAACACACTATTTCTGAAAAAAAAAAGAAATAAATAAAATAATAAATTCTTTTTTAAAATCAATTAATTAGAGAATTTTGATTGTTCAAATTTAACAAAACTATTACAATGTAATTTTGTAAAAACAAAATTTTGTAAAAAATAAAACTGAATTTGAGAAAAAAATAAAATATTTCATAGGGCCTTAAAAATTTAAGTTTTGTTAAACTTTTAATAAACTGCTGTTAAATATTGTAAGTTTCATGATTTCAATTAATTAGACATGCTTTTTGATTAATAAAATTTAATTTAACCATTAAAACAGTCTAGAAAAATTAAAACGGAAAAAACGTAATTTAGAAAAAAAATAAAACTGAATTTGGAAAAAAATCAAACGGATTTCATAGGGCTCTATATAATATTAACAGATACAACATTTGATTTTAATAATGTATTAATAAATGTTTAAAATTAACATTTCCTAAGATTAATACATTACAGTATTTTTCAACTAATAACTAATGTAATTAACTATTGTAAATAAATAGAACCTTATTGTAAAGTGTTACCAATAAGTTTAGACACTAAAAGATTGCGTCTTAAAACCTAGTGAGCTGCCCACCTATAGACAGCATAAGCATGTGCATCAAAAAGGCTTGGATGCCCAAGACTATGATGCCCAAAAAAGCTGTCTAAGAGGGCAGCTCAATAGGTTTTGAGACACAGCCATTGACGATTTATTATGTAAACATAAATAATCTAAATAAAGAAATAATCCACTAAGAGTTTCAGAAAAAGTCATGCTGAATTATATGTGCACTCACTTGGACTGGGCCATCAGGACATTTGGACAGAGGTGAGCTGGGAACACAGCATGCAATGCTTCACATTCCTGATACCCCAAATTATAGATCTTAGTTGTTCCTAAAGCATGCAAGTGCCAAAATCTTGATTAGAACAAATGTGGTAAATTGTGATGGATTATGCAATATGGAAATGATTTGTAGCATCTCATCATCACAGAAGAGAGTCCAGTTACGTGTGCTGTCACCCCGTGATTACATCCGCCAACACCAATCTGTTTCTCCCTCTGTCAATGCATTACCAGTTTCAGTATGTTCTTCACATGCAAATGAACTAACCGTGTCTGCAGTGAAACTGAAATATCACCCTGCTGTTTGGGATGTTGATGGTTATCTCACATCTGTCCACACTGCGCTCTCTCCACGACGCACAACGAAACAGGGGAAGCACGCACTGAAAATTATAAAAAGCATATGATAATCAGTAAACACTGTACAATGAATGAATAATACTGATGCATATGAGTTAAGGCACTGGGTATTAATATTGCTGGTTCTATAATAATAATTATTTATTTTTGATGTTCTTCATCAGTATTTTTGTCTTGCTTTCCAGTGCAAATGTCTAAACATTCATAAATCAGGATGCATTTACTTGAGTTGCAAAATGACATAACTTCAGATCTCTTTCTGAGAAATTTATCAAAATGTTATTTATATAATAAATAAAATATAAAACGTTATTTATAGTTATTAATATTACCAAGGACAAATATCTGCTAATGGGCTCAGAAAAACTAACTTAAAGCAACTGCCCCATTAATAGATCTTCATTTCGCATCTCAAGTAAATTTTGATTTAACCCTCTGGTATTGTTCATTTGGGGGTCACACTTGTGTTGTTCGCGGTCAAAGGTGACCGAAAAACTGAAATGTAACTTTTTTTATTTTCAGTAAAATCAATGTAATACATTTTTGTTCAGTATTATTTTTTATTTTGTATTTTGAATGAATTTCATGGTACTAATTCATATTTATGCAATAATTATGATCAATTTTTTCCCTTTGAAAATAATAAAAAAAAATGTCCCCCTAATATTTTATATTACTTTTCAATTACGGCAGTATTTCATGTTAAAATAGAGACAATGCCTTTAAAATCAAATTTTTGAATGCAGATTAGTGCCATCTGGTGGGAGTAAAAAAATGAAAAACATCTGCAATTCCATGATTAGCCACTAGATTCATATAGAGCTTATAAATTCTCTTAGTTGTTTTTAGACATTAATACTTTTTTTTATTAAGTTGTGGATTTGGGTATATATATATATATATATATATATATATACAAAGACAACTTTTTGTAAAGGTTTAGATTTCTTTTGTTTGAAATGTTGATTTGAAATGTCAGTTTTTGCATTAATTTCATACCATTCCAATGAAGTAGCGATTTTTGAAATTTCGAAACATAATTTTTTCCGGTCTAAAATCACCGAGCAACACCAGAGGGTTAAGGATATTTAAATATGTGTGTTGGAAAACAAGATAAAAACACTGAGGAACATTTATATTGTCCAATCCTTCAAAACTTAAAGAAACGTGTGGTTATAAATGTTTAGTACCTTCATGTTTAGTTTGCATTTTACCGCTTCACAGCCTTTCTGAATGTCTGGATCAGGAATATACTGCTGGAAGAACAGAGGAGTGAAGCTGAAACAGGCACAAGCCGACTGAGATGAGCTGACAGTCCTTACAGCCAACTACAGGGGAGAGAGACAGAAAGAGAGAATTAGAAATGACAGATAAAGAAGACATATACATATATATATATGCATAAAAAGTACTGTGTAAAAGTCTCAGGCCATTAATATTTTCCACCAACAAAAAATGGTTTTAAGCCAGTTACGCAGCCCGTCTGCGATTACATGAAGAAACAGAAGAAACCGAGACAGACTAAATCCAGAAGAACTGTGGCAACATCTTTAAAACACTTGAAGAAACCTTCCTACAAAGCCACTGTGAAAAGTTTTAGGCACTTGTGTAAAAATGCTGAAAAGTGACAATGCTTTCAAAAATAATGTCATAAATAGAGGTTATCTATCAATTAACTTCTATTAACTAAACCAAATCAACACTTGGTGCGACCACCCTTTGCCTTTAAATCAGCTTTTGTCCTTGGTGCACTTAGTTTTTCAGGTAGCTTTGCAGGTTTTTTGAAGTGTTTTGTAGATGTTGCCACAGTTCTTCTGGATTTAGTCTGTCTCTTCATGTAATGATGCTGAGATCAGATCTCTGTGTGGAGCATTGCTGTTGTCAGACTCCTTGTGCAAACAAAAATCTCACTGGATTATTACAATTAATGGCAAAGGGAATGTTTGTAAATGTAAACTGATATTTCCTACTGACACACTAAGCGAAAGATAGAAATAACTGACTGAAAACCATTTTTTGTGTTGTTGTTGTTGGTGGTGAAAATACTAATGGCCTAAGACTTTTGCACAGTAGTGTATGTGTATATATATCATCACATACCCCCTTCTCCAGTGGATCCAACCATATTTCATCACCAATTCTTGACAGAGCATGAACTGCTTTTCCAAAGACTAAGAACAGTAAACAGAGACATTTATTAACAACAGAACCCGCTCAGAGAAGATTTATTTAGATAATATATTGAAAAAAATTGTCATACCTTTAACGCCATTGCCTTCAATGACACACTTCATTTTATTTTCCCTTGTTCAATATTTGACGCATTGATTAGACGCTAAATTAATACGATCTACAGTACTTTTATGCACATTTTTCAGATGACACCAAAAATTCTAAGAGGAAACCTTTGACAAAAGTGACTTTAGAGAATAAAAACGACAAAAACTTTTATTTTTATTTTTTTTTTTTTTTTACCTCAGCGCTCGGAAAGAAGAGCGGGAAAGAAAGATCAGTTTCATCTAACTGAAAACGCGCGCGCTCCAGTTCTCACCAGCGTTTGTCAAAGTTTATTCAGGTTTTTATTGGGTTTACTAGAATAGAATAGAATAGAATTGTGCATGGCATAACGTATTCCTGACACCTTTCAACAGGGAATAAATACTAACCTTTCCACAAGTTACAATAAATTATACAAAAAATACGGTATAGAACTGAAATTAGTGAAAGTGTGCATAGATAAATACTCACCGATACATACAAACAGTACGCTAAGGTCGATTACTAAGCATTTGTAAAATTTGTATTTCAGAAGAATATTAACGTAACAATTGGTATATAAACATATACGCACCTCTCGATAAAAAAAAATCAATGAATAAAAATAAAAAGTTATTTATCAGTTTGTCTTAGTGAGTTAATACGCATAGGAACTGAATATATTGAGAGCAGCGGGCGACCGGAACGATTAAAGTGTAACACAGAAACACTGTTTGTGGATGTAAATATGAAAATCCTAAGTGCTAAAAGTTTATCATGGAGACATTTACACCTATAAACATACAAAATGTGTTCATATGGAAGTCGATCGGTCCTCGCTTAGTTCGATCACGCATTTCGAGCTGTCAGACTGCAAACTGTCTTATTGGAAAGAGGTTTTTGCTATAATGGCTTGTAATGATGACTGGCAGGTAGCAGGGCGCCGAGCGGCTAGAAGAGGAAAACAACCTTCAAACCCCAAACTAGACTCACACCAGGTGGCTGCCTGCAAACCGGACAAGCAGAAGATATTAAACGCCATGTGAGGGTTTATCTGCCACTATCACACATTACACGAGTGTCAGTGATACGGTACATTATCATAACTCAATGGTGTTCTTTTAAATACCCCGGAGTCTTGTGTAAATAGGAAAGTGCATGAATTAGGCTAAGGATTGTGCTGTTCATGTTGTCTGTGAGCTCTCTGAAATGTTCTTTACCTTCACAGGAATGAACTGAGAGGAGAAAACTTCTGGATGGAGTGGAAAGGTGATGTTGAATTACAGCTGTACCGTCTATAAATGTGAAAATACAATTTGTAACGACCCCATCTCCACCTCCAGATCTCCTGTCTGAGCGTCTTCTTTCCAACGCTTCTGGTTCCTCAGAGCAGAATGGAGATGTTTCTCTTCAGCTCTGTGTGTGTTACGGTTTGGGTCACTTTGCTTCTTGTGTATCTGCCCGATACCAGCTTGCAATGTTGCTACTGCTTCTAGAGACACTCCAGGTATATGCGTTTCATTCGTATGATTTCTATGAAAGGATTTGTCAATTAAACATACAGATATTCTCTTTTTCCTCAGATTCCAGTGGGCAGCTGTTGTGTGTATGATCCTGTGTTTTCTGCGTTAGAGTGTGACGCCCTCAAGGAGCTCGGCTTCACTGTGTTGACTGAAAATGAGGTGCACACATCACACATCTACTGACATAAAAAGACACATGTTTTGCTGTCAGTTTTCAAGCAGTATGTTCCTAACAGGAGGGAAAACGAGCGGTTTATCAACCCACCCTGTTTTACCTGATGCATTGTGGGAAGGCTCTGTATAACAACCTGCTGTGGAGAAACTGGACGCCCCAGACGTTGCCAAAAATGATTATAATTGGCAACAGTTTTCATGGCATTCAAGAGAGGTGGGTGTCTGGTGTTATACAACACATTATTGATTAAAAAAA